TGTTCATTTGTAGGAACAGTGTGTTCTTGACTTTGTCTCTGGAGATGGTGAATCGGGCCCTCACAGTGTTGTCATAGTAGATGTTAACACTTTTATAAGTAATGTATGTGACCCACTCCAGCCCCTTCCCTGGAGCCTTGTGGAACCAGTTCTGGTATAGCTAGGGAAGGTGAATCTAGAGGCCTCACAGGACAGTTTCAGGGACTTTCCAGACTGCACTGTAACTCCACCTGACCCCACCAGATGTACTTCACACTGGACACCTGCAAAGACAGAGAAATTTTGTCAAAAAACTGTCACAAAATAGAATTTTTCTTATTTCCTATGCCAGTACAACATACCACATCTAATTTCTACTAACTAACTTTTCAAATAATAATGATAAAAGTCAAATGTGCCCTAAGTCCATGGTGAGTGGCCTGTGTTCAGTGCTGATCACAGAATGGGAGGACCTTGGGATCCAGGGCTGGGCTTCTCTGTCAGAGCTGCAGTTTCAGGGCAGGGCTGGTTTTCCTGAGCACAGAGAAGCCACATTTGCATATCTTTCTGCAAGAGAAGGCTCTGCACCTGGGAAGAACTCAGAGGAGATATAGGAAATCAGTTGCACTGATGAAAGACACAGAAATTGACAGAGTAACATCTCTGTGCACACATTTTCCATGTGAAGAATTCACCACACTTTATTTAGTTCCATTTCAGCATACACCCAGCACACACTGTGTTTCCACACTGTCAAGTCTCCTAATTATTAGTGAGAAATTAAAAAAAAGCTCCACCTAGGATTGTGTTTGTAGATAAGTGCTCAGTCTCTCCTGTCTGTGCTGGACATGGCTTCTCCCCGAGGTAGATCATGGACAGGTTCATACCTGCTTCTAGCAGAACTCCTTCCCTTTGACAGTAACAGTTGAGACTTTCTGGAATTTCCTATTTTCTGAGATAGGCTGTCCTAGGACCACAGGAAGTCTGCAAGTGAGGCACTCTTTATTACTGTTTCTCTTCCTCTCAGTGGTTGCTGTGGAGACATTTTTATATTTGCTGTACTCACTTTTCCACATCCTGAAGTTCTCATTATGATCAATTTATAATCCACACTCTGCCCTTCCGTTTTCTACCTCACACCAGGTAATGCATTTCTGTCTCCATGTCGTCTTAGGCCAGTTTTTATTTCTCCATATTCATATAGTCAACATAATGGGGACACTTCATAAATTTTTATAACAACACAAAAACTTATGGCATTGATACCTCATTGTTTTCTTTTCCCCAATTCTCTTACTTCCAACCTACCCATCTCCTTTCTCTCTCACACCCATCATTTCCTTTCAAAACTCCAGTATTACCCTGTGCTTTGCTCCTCTTGTCCCTCACTTAAGATGACTTCCCCTACATGCATAAACGTATGTAGTGGATGGATTGCTTGTCAACTTGACACAAGCTAGAGTCATTAGAGAGGAGGGAGCCTCTGTTGAGGAAATGCCTCCATGAGATCC